TTGGATTTGTACAAATGCACTAATCAGTGTTGTAGTCGTGTTAGTTAATACACCCGGAGTTCTCCAGAGAGGGTTGTCGCATGACCTGAGAATGTCTACAGATACAGAAGATAATGGGAGCTAGCAGACACACCAAGTTCTTGCTGGGAATACTCTACCTCTCCTATTGTGTGTACGGAAATTTCTTGTGAGTAATTGGGAGACATTTTTATTTTATGCAATTTTTTTTAATATCATTTATGACTGAATATGAAAACTATAGGTGGTATACATTATCTGAAGTTCCACCGCTCTCAAACGCGAGTGATAACATTCCCAGATGTACAGATAGGCTCGTAGGATATGATCATTGTTTTGTTGTAAAAAGATCCCATTTGTGTAGGAAGATCTTGTCGTAGCTCCCCCATGTATAGCTATCTATTTCATTTTTGCCCATTCTTTGACTGTTCAAGCAATCACAGACTGTCAGGACGAGTTAGCAAGAAGGCATCTTTAAAACTCAATGGTTCTAATTAAGACGGAGTGGATATAATTAAATCAGGGTTAGACACGAGGTATCGTTACCCGCTAGTTATTTGGTGAGGAGAGCTTTGTTCTAAACCAGCGTTTACTGCATATCGGGTTACTCTATTAAATAAATACTTTGCTCTCAAAGTGCTATACCACCTAGAGTTGGGGTATTTAAATAAATAATAGGTGTTTGCAAAATACCCGTCCATGAGTGACTTTTACACCGACACTATAGTCACGCATCTACTGATCCCGCGATCCCATTTCAGGTTAATTTGCAAACTGCAAAAAGTATTTAAAATTGAGTTTATCCTCTTAACGACATTAATTGCCGACCACCTGAACATGTATAATAATAGTTCTGCTGTATATTTAAAAAGGATGACTTCCGAGCATACTCTGCAACAATGTCATAAAAAACATGTAGGGTTTATGTGTAAATTATTATTTGAGAAACTTCAAGAGCCTACTTCAAATATTCAAATATAAATAACACCTTGTAGAAATGATACCGTGAGATGTAACATGAATAAAAGTGATAAAACTGGGGCGGATAACGATAAACCTGTGTTATACAAAAATATGCAGACATTTAAACGAAAGCAGACAAATATAGAACTAGGGCGAATCAAGTATACAAGGACAATTATGATATATTAGAGACGAATACATAACTTATAGATTGTTATCTTATAATGTACCTACACTCGTACGAGCATTGCATATGTTGAAATTAGCTATGGCCTCAGCTTGACCACAGGCGGTCAGTGTGAACACTGAGACGTCTAGTGGTTTACTTGTCACTCTGACACACATTTCAGGATAATTTGAAATTACCTATTCACATGTAACGTACTGTATTAACAGGGATTGAAACAAATAACTAGAGCTGAACTGTGGGATCATATGTGCCGGTAGATGTCACTCAAATATCACTCTAGTATTGTATTGAAGGGTGGACTGATAACAGGAAATAATAGGCCTCAGCATATGATGTCAGTATATGTCTATATTTCTGAAATAATTAATCATTAAATAATTCACAAACCCTGTCAGTTAAATATATCAACTCATATATTTAAATAACTGGATATTTTTTGTTTCAAGCTACAAAAATACTACAGGTAATGTTGTAAAATTGTTTGATCTAAAATTCCAACAGATTCTATTCTTATAATTCAATTTAAATATTTGTTTTTATTTAACGAATTTTAAGTGTATGAACAAGTATGTCTACAAGTGCGATGTTAAACTTATTAAGTTCGTAGATATTTCTGGATAGTCCTACAGACGTAAGGACAAGGTGGTATGTTAACTTCGCGTGATAGGTCCCCGACCGACATGGCATTGTTGTCTGTCTGATACTAGCTAGCGTGTGGAACTCGTCACTACTCTAACATGACCCTCGTAACACTGAGTAACCACTTGACAATACTGATTTAATACTCAAGTGTTGAACATGCCAAATCACACTAAATTTTAAACCTTTGAAGTTAACTCCTTAAAGTATAGAAATTAAGAGGAGGATGAAATAAGACGCGTTGATCACGACACAGTAAAAATAAGACTGGAATTGTTTGTGACATTTCTCACATTATCACAGAGATCACCCACAGAGCTGCGTAAGCTATGTTAAACGGTGTAGGTAGAGTACAATATCAAAACTGAACCTGCAAAGAAATTAAATAAGTTATTAATTAATTTTTGTTTAAATAAAAAAAAACAGGGAGAGTTGTTCGATATATTTATATGTCATTTTGTATGATAGATACTACTTTGTATCAGTATATACTGGGTATATTGTGAATTCTAGGCAGAAGATACACCTTGTAGATAAACGCTAACAGGGCTGTGTTGCCATAGACCGGGATTTACGTGATATTTACCAACATAAACTTATGTGTATGTTCCTTACTCTCCTCTTACACACTATAATATGTTCTTCAATCAGGTCATAACAACGAATGGTTCTGATAACAATCTGGAGATATTGTCATCAGACGGGAGAAGAGTACCGTGTTTGTTTGAGACAGGAAATTTGAAACTACCAGCACTGTAGATATATTTAAGTGAAGTAATTTAAAATTGTGTTATTGACAGTGTTACTTTTACAATCATACGCATTTTCTAGGAAGTGGTCTGGCGCCTCTACCATCTATTAGAGTAAAACGTTCACCACCAACCGATATTTACTTTAGATAACATTTACCACAAAACAAAATATTTGAAATATATCTTTAAAATTTTTGAATTTAAATCATTTTAATCTGTAATTGCTCCTCGTAAAATAAAAGTAATTGTCGGAAGATTTGACAGATAGGAGATAAAATCAACCTACACATAAAAATGTGTTTTAACAATTTTCAAAATCGGAATTTGATTAACAAATTTTAGGAGTGCCGCTGATGATATGTTGTAGGTGTGATAAGGTACATATTTTATAGATGCGTGAGAATCACTTTATCGCCTGGCTGCCATTCTAGAAGCCGGCAACATTAACATGTTATATACATTTTACCTATAAGTAAAGATGTCTCGTCTTAGATACCAATCTGTATAGATAAGATGTATATGTTTATGCTGCGTCCCATGTCGTACGAAGAATGTCGCCTATTTGTTACGTTTGCAATGAAGTTAAAGCAAGGCTTACTGACCCTTTACCTATCTCTCACGTTCATCTATAGAGTTTTATTATCGATGAAATTGGTCACCATTATTTGTCAGTGTAACGATTTAGTGATGTCATCTCTAGACTGCACTTCACGGTATATTACATTAGAGTTAGGGGATGAGTAAGGAGTGATTATACTTCCTGTTGTTAACCGGGTATGATTGTATCACATTTGCGTCTGAATTATTTATTTACATCCAGTTTATGGTCTCTGAACAAATTGCATTACACGCGTTTAGTACCATGAACACATATCTCCCTAAACGTGAATAAGATTTGGTGGTTAGATTGATATATGTCTCCGGGGGAACCAGTTAGGAGCTTATAATTAGGCATGTTTGCTACGATGACAGTATCGATTCTCACGCTCATCAAGGGCCTCACAGTGCTCTTGGTGTACACCTGGTAAGTTGAAAGTTTGTGTTCTCAATTCTTTAAATCTGATTCGATAAATTTAAGTACAGTTTTATTTTATAAGGACTTCAACTTCGGTTTAATAATTCAATTGAATCATTCTGTTATATGATTTAATTGATATTACTTTTGGTGAAATAATATTAACGTCACTTTAAACATATAGTATGTTTACTCTGTTATCGTCGATTCTAATCATGATTAGATTTATTTTATTATAAGAATTTTATTATTATATTTAGGAGTTTACTGCAACTATTATCACATGGACAAATTTAAGCCATAACATGAACTTAGTTGGAGAAAAATATTATTGAGTTTTCATAGAATTTTGTTTTAGGAACATAGATATCTTGAGTGCCGAAGTCGAGATTTTGGTCCAAAGATGTTTATGGATATATATAATATCAATACGATATCTCGAATAAGTTAATTTGAGATATTTTCGTAGTCAATACAACGTCGACATTGCGAAGTTTACCCGTGTAGGTTTTTACATGGTATTGACGCCACTCTGACTTTACTAGGAATATATTTGACATGTTATTCGTTCTCATAGAGCAAATCATGTTTCGCTATTATTTATAATAATATGAATTGACAGATTTTTATACATTTGATTTCAGGACATATTTAACATGTAAATATACCTTTTACGACTTGTACATAAATGTAATATATATATATATTACATGCTATATTAACATTGACTGTTAGGTGGAACGTCCGAGGTCCGGGCACTTTTGTTACTGTATACAATGATCCCCTTTGATACTTTACCCGTATGTCTTAGACAAATCATCTCATTCGTTCTGATACAAAAAATTATTGTTGACATTCGGATCGTGAACATTAGCTATTGTTATTTACGTTCACGAAATGTTTTCAGATGCTAGACCTTTTTAATATTGTTAAGACATGTAGATAACAATGTAATTACATGTAGTAGAATTAACGTTCCATGTAACAGTATGATAATAGGTCTTAAACATATTTTTACCCATAATTGTCTCCAATATTTCTTCCTTAAACCAAGCATTTACCTTACAATGTGATGTAAGAAATATTTCTTACACATTTATGAATTATGAAACAATCGTAAGTAACAGTCTTTCAGTAAACTCATTTTATCAAGTCTAGTATACGCACTGGGAATTCAATTGTAAATACCTTTAGCAATGGATAAGGAAACTAATATCAGCTTCACCTTTTTCAAAACTGCAGATCAATCTGTATTAGAATTTGTCTGCGTAATGATGTCATTAACATATTGTTATATATCTGGATTATTTAAGCATAAACAATTCTCATTGGTTTCTTCGTCATTAAAAAACAATAAAATGATACAACAATATGTCACTGTTTGATTAGCATATTCCTGATTGTTTGTGTTTTGTTTTTCCAGGGCACTTTCGCAGGTCGTGGCCCTCCGTGCTAACATCATCTGTAATAAGATTCCAGGACTAGCACCAAAACAGCGGTCTATATGTAGGAAAAGACCAGACGCTATTGTCACTATTGGGGAGGGAGTACAGATGGGCATGAAGGAGTGTCGTCATCAATTTAGAAACAATCGTTGGAACTGCTCTAGTATAGGAACAGACTACAACATGTTTGGGAATACCCATCCTGTAGGTGAGTACAAAAGGAATAGAAGACTTCCCCTTAACAGTTATTGTCAACCTTGAAACTGTTTCCAAGATTGTCTTGTTGGATTTAGAAGTTTTGGTTTTATTTTGTTTAACGTCCTATCAACACCTTAGATAGTTTTAGGACGTCGATGGACAAATATAGGTAATAAATATAGGTAATATCGCAGATATGTTCTTTACGTTCGGAACATTTTTGGAATTGAAATCTTTGAAAAGAATCACGTTTTTTTCTTTTATTTGGGATTAGCTTGGAAATATTGAACTTCAAAATTGCGTATAGCGATTTGCTTTGTTTATTTTACAATCCATAAAAGTGCAAACAATTTCGATGTCTTTCCCGTATTAACATTGGTAATTTCGCTTAAAAATATCTTTTACCACAAAATCACTTTTTTTTTCTGTTTATAATTTATTTATCAGTGTTCTTCGATTAGCATTTTGCCAAACCACATCTATACGTCAATACTTACATCAAACAAGGAGGCTGTATGACAAGGTTTAACAGTTCAGCAGAAATACCAACTATCAATATACTGTAAAATAAACCTAAAACTGTATGTCATATAACGTCCCTTAATATAACCGAATCTATGTATTGAACCGGTTCATTAAACTTTGTTACGCATCTGTTTAAAAGTAAGAAGTGCCTATTCCTCGTATTCCACAATCCACCTACCTACAAATATAACATAGCAATACCTAGCACAGTGAAGGTTACATATGTACATATTGAAACGATATCTTATTTAGAATTGTAACATTGTCCTTTGTGATCATAATGACGTTTGCATCATAAATTGATATACATATTGAAGCCATCATCAATATCAGCTATCTTTGCATTTAAGCTGGAGTTGGTTTGCTTCAAACGTAGACATACTTATATTTTGTTTGATCACTGCAAATGCGTTATATTTCTGTTTAGACTACAGAGATAAACTGGTAAATAACAGGTTAGTTTAATCTGTACAAATTCTTCAATATATTTACGTATCCCAGACTCCTTAACCTAAAGGATCGATGTTATATCCACAGGACACCTATCATAGAACGCATTATCCAATTAAAAGACATAGAAATTATTTTGCTGCTCATTTCAAGTATCTTCTTAACATTATTTTTTGTAACATGGCGACTGCTTATCAGCATACTTTATCGAAAATTACGTGGTGTAAATAATAGGATAAATATCATGATATTTATCGGGGTCTGTTTAATCCGTACTCTTAAAACAAAAAGGGAAAGTTTAAATTGTAAATATATTTGGTCATATATGTGTTTCGTTAACAATGAAATCCATTTGAGAAAGGATTATACATCACAGCCAGTTAAGTGTTAATAACCTTTTTACAATACATACTAACCAACATGAAGAAAGTCATAACAAAAGAAAGAAAATGATATCAAGCTTAAACACTACGACAAGCACTGTTATGTTTTACACAGAGTATGCGCTGTCTCCCATAGTCAAGTACTCATTAAAACTAATTTTATTACATACTCAAGTTGGTATGTAGTTTAAGGATAACAAAGGTTTTTCACGTGATAACATTGGGACGTAAAACAAAATACTGATATGGCGTTATAATTTACGACAAACGCAGATTTATGATGGTTCTATTCTTACATTGGGCAAAATGTGCACGTAATTTTAACATTTCGTGACCCAAAGCGGTAAAATACAATGAAAAGAATTTCTATGATCAGTTGTTATTAAAAATACCTTCATTCTTTATATATTGTTTTCTAGGTGACAAACATTGATACTAATGATATAAATTATTTATCAATGCAAGAATTTCTTACCGTATATATCCAAATAATCTTATGTCTTTAGTCTTTAGCGTGGCGCTACATGAGATTTCTTTTATAAAAGCATCATCGATACGAAACTTATTAGTCTGAATCCTGTTTTAAGTAGGAGAAGCATAAATTAGTGTATTGTTGTGCTAATCTTCTTTATGTGTCTATTTGTAATCCATATAAATATAATATATTTGTAATGCAGTGGTATTACTGTTGCACTCGTTTCTATTATAAGGAAAGTGTGAAATGATATGAAGATGAAGATACTTTGAGAAGATCAATACATATTTTTGTGAGAGCAGAGCGAACCATTATAAAACTGTATATAGCCTGCTGGTGTGATGTCCGGCTAATGTAGGCTGTTTTATTACTGACTCTCTTTATTGTCATACCCAGTCAGGTTAGGTGTCTTTCTTGTCAATGTCTGCTGTCATTGGCCATTATAAATACATCAGATATGTCCACTTGGTGTGAGGGAACGAGGTTCACCATTTTGGGTTAACTTAGGGGTCATTTGAGGATAGAAAGGCTGCTAGACACGACTGATAGGGTTTAGTAGTGAGGAGATAAGTTGGTAATACATATGTACTATAAATGGTAAGGAATTAGTTGAAGATTTTGTCTTGTTCGATTGTTGAATTCGAGATGTGTAATTGCCTGCATAATAAGGGGTTCGGTACAGAACATGAACGTTTGTTGCTAGTAACATTTGATACAGTATGTACATGTGTGTTACCAGTAACATTTGATACAGTATGTAGATGTGAGTGTTACCAGTAACATTTGATACAGTATATAGATGTGTATTACCAATAACATTTGATACAGTATATAGATGTGTGTTACCAGTAACATTTGATACAGTCTGTAGATGTGAGTGTTACCAGTAACATTTGATACAGTATGTAGATGTGAGTGTTACCAGTATCATTTGATACAGTATGTAGATGTGAGTGTTACCAGTAACATTTGATACAGTATATAGATTTGTGTTACCAGTAACATTTGATACAGTGTATAGATGTTTTTTTACCAGTAACATTTGATACAGTATATAGATATGTGTAACCAGTAACGTTTGATACAGTATATATATGTGTGTTACCAGATACAGTATATAGACGTGTGTTACCAGTAACATTTGATACAGTACATAGATGTGTGTGACCAGTAACATTTGATACAGTATGTAGATGTGTGTGACCAGTAACATTTGATACAGTATGTAGATGTGTGTGACCAGTAACATTTGATACAGTACATAGATGTGTGTGACCAGTAACATTTGATACAGTACATAGATGTGTGTTACCAGTAACATTTGATACAGTCTGTAGATGTGAGTGTTACCAGTAACATTTGATACAGTCTGTAGATGTGAGTGTTACCAGTAACATTTGATACAGTATATAGATGTGTGTTGCCAGTAACATTTGGTACAGTATATAGATGTGTGTTACCAGTAACATTTGATACATTATATAGATGTGTGTGACCAGAAACATTTGATACAGAATATAGATGTGTGTGACCAGTAACATTTGATACATTATATAGATGTGTGTTACCAGTAACATGTGAAACAGTATATAGATGTGTGTTACCAGTAACATTTGATACATTATATAGATGTGTGTTACCAGTAACATGTGAAACAGTATATAGATGTGTGTTACCAGTAACATTTTATACAGTATGTAGATGTGAGTGTTACCAGTAACATTTGATACAGTATGTAGATGTGTGTGACCAGTATCATTTTATACAGCATGTAAATGTGTGTGTGACCAGTAACATTTGATACAGTATATAGATGTGTGTGACCAGTAACATTTGATACATTATATAGATGTGTGTTACCAGTAACATGTGAAACAGTATATAGATGTGTGTTACCAGTAACATTTTATACAGTATGTAGATGTGAGTGTTACCAGTAACATTTGATACAGTATGTAGATGTAAGTGTTACCAGTAACATTTGATACAGTATATAGATTTGTGTTACCAGTAACATTTGATACAGTGTATAGATGTTTTTTTACCAGTAACATTTGATACAGTATACAGATATGTGTAACCAGTAACGTTTGATACAGTATATATATGTGTGTTACCAGATACAGTATATAGACGTGTGTTACCAGTAACATTTGATACAGTATATTGATGTGTGTTACCAGTAACATTTGATACAGTATATAGATGTGTGTAACCAGTAACGTTTGATACAGTATATAGACGTGTGTTACCAGTAACATTTGATACAGTATATAGATGTGTGTTACCAGTAACATTTGATACAGTATATAGATATGTGTAACCAGTAACGTTTGATACAGTATATATATGTGTGTTACCAGTAACATTTGATACAGTATGTAGATGTGTGTCACCAGTGATATTTGAGACAGTATATAGATGTGTGTCACCAGTAATATTTGAGACAGTATATAGATGTGTGTCACCAGTAATATTTGAGACAGTATGTAGATGTGTGTTACCAGTAACATTTGATACAGTGTATAGATGTTTTTTTACCAGTAACATTTGCTACAGTATATAGCTATGTGTGACCAGTAACGTTTGATACAGTATATAGATACATGTAGTAGAATTAACGTTCCATGTAACAGTATGATAATAGGTCTTAAACATATTATCATACTGTTACATGGAACGTTAATTCTACTACATGTAATTAACGTTCCATGTAACAGTATGATAATATGTTTAAGACCTATTATCATACTGTTACATGGAACGTTAATTCTACTACATGTAATTAACGTTCCATGTAACAGTATGATAATAGGTCTTAAACATATTATCATACTGTTACGTATCAAGTGTTACTGGTCACACACACATTTACATCCTGTATCAAATGTTACTGGTAACACACGTCTATATACTGTATCAAATATTACTGGTAACACACATAGCTACATACTGTATCAAATGATACTGGTAACACACATAGCTACATACTGTATCAAATGATACTGGTAACACACAATTCTACATACTGTATCAAATGATACTGGTAACACAAATATCTACATACTGTATCAAGTATGATTAAACAAGGGCTTCACCAGATGGTCATAGACCTTGTCTTGCGTCAAAGAGTCCAAGGAAACAACCTCTTTGACGCAAGACAATATTTGAGACAGT